CCTGCCATACCCCCGGGGTCAGCCACTGCTGCGGGTCTGCGGCACCTCCTGGATGACTGATGACGGAGCCTGGGGGCAGCGGATGTCCCCGGCGGGAAGGGGTCTCCAGCTCAGGAAGTGCTGTACCTGCCCTTCTGCTGGCAAACTACCAGGTCTCCAGGCTCCAACTGGAAAAAATCAGAACAGCCTAGGAGGCGGCGGCCCAGAGTCTGGAAAGTTGCCAGGAATCCTGGAGTCCGCTTGTAGGGGCCCCAAAAGGAAACCTTCATTATGTGTCTCCCCGAGGCCAGGCTGTTTCAGTCAGTCCTCGAAGGGCTCTGGGCGTGGGTGTTTCATCACTTTTTACGGTTGAGGAAGATGCTCGGAGCGGTCAGTGCCAGCCACAGGCCTGCGAGCCTGACTGCAGAGGCCGTGACCCTTCCAGAACTTCAGCTAGTGCCCCGTCCCCTTCTTTCTTACCACTGGGAAGAACCTTCTTTCAGCCACTCGAGGCTCCTTCCCCCTCTGCTGCCCTGGGGTGCTCCTCCTCTGTGCCCTTGGAGCCTGGCCCTGGCACTCCTGTGACTTCACCATTCGCCCTTGGGTGGGTACCCGTCTTCTGACTGTCTGGGTGATGAACTTTTGGAGGGCACCACTCATTCCTTACGTTTCTCTGGGGAAATCAAAACACGTGTTTTAACAGCTTAACTTCTGTAATAAACTCTGTAGTAAACACAAGGATCATTTTATTCAGGACATTTCAAACCCTCTAGAAAGGTACAGAGAGTCACATGTGATGACTTTTTATATATAGGTGATCAACATGGTGTGTTGATTGATCCATTTCCCTTTCTACTTTCTCCAAAGAGGAGGAAGCATTTGCTAGGTTCCCCATCCTAGGGGACCTCAGCTAAGATGTCTGGGGGCTCTTCTTCCGAACCCCACTCTTCACTGCATGCAGGGCAACAGTTCAGCAGCTTTATAAGGAAAGAGGGATCAGATGAGTGTGATAACGGGAGGGAGAGCTGCTCCTGTGCCAATCACCACTGAGGCCACCAGCTCGCCTGAAACTGGCAGCACGGGTGGGCCCCTCAGCAGGGTTTCCATCCAGGGAGGCTGGTCATTATGACTCAGCAGGAGCAGGCGCCTGTGACTCGAGAGATATCCATTTATATCCCGATGAGGGAGGGAGGGAGGGAGTGGAGGGGAACAGAGCCTCCGCTCAGGGAGGAAGAAATGAGTGCCCTGGTTCTGTAAGCCTTGTGATGTGGCGAAGAATCATTTCCTTTCCTCTCCAAAGCAGTTTCTAGGGTTGGAATTCTGGGCAAGAAATTGACTGTCACATGTCAGCATATAGGAAGATTACTATGAACGTTATCGGGGACAGTGGCATCATGTCACTTAGTCATAAAGATTTAAAGGCACTAGCTATATATGTGACCATCAGTTGAATGGGTCCATTAGAACAGTGGTTCACAACACGCAGGCTCTACCAAATTGTGTTTAAGTAAGTTTGCAGGTTTAAAAATTAGGTATAATTGACATGTAATATGAGTTTTAGGTGTAAAACATAATGATTTGATATTTGACTATATTGCAAAATGATTGCCACAATAAGTCTACTTAACATCTGTCACCATACATGGTTAAACATTTTTTTTTCTTATGATGAGAACTTTAAGACCTACTCTCTTAGGAACTTTCAAATATGCAATACAGTATTAACTGTAGTCACCACGCTGTGCATTACATCCCCAGAATTTATTTAATTTATCACTGGAAGTTTTGATCCCTTTCATCTACTGAATTAATTTAAATCCATCTTTGATCCTACAGAAACTGCCAAGTGAAAACACAAGCAGGGCCAAACATTGATAGTAGATGGTAAGTTACCCTCAGAGCCAAGTCCCAGAGATCACAAGATCAGAGCATTTCTCGTCTCGGAGAGTTTTCCTGCTCACCTCTGCCCAGCCAGCGCCTTTCCGCTTGGCACGAACACTATTCCACATAAGTTTCTCTCTTTTTACTTAAAAAGACCTCCCTTCCCCGGAAGGTGATCCCACAGATAACCATCCCAAGGCTTAGCAACTCTCAGGTCAGGAAATCCTCCCTTGCCCCAAACCTGTGTGTAGCAAGAGGGATTTATTTAGATTTAAGGCCATTTCCTCTCGTTTTGGCCCCTTGTTGATGGAACAGCTGTTCGCAGGCTGAGCGACTGGCATCTGCTCTGTCGCTGAGATCCAGAGGGTGGTGCCAGGGTAATCTTCTTCTCTCCCACACTGAACCTCTCCAAAGGGCGGGCTAGAATTGGGGAGCGACAGACATCCTTGCAGGTCCCAGGGCCCAGCGGCAGGTTTCTTGTGCTCATGGATACCCATAGTGGCCTTTGTCTCTTCCTTGCCTTGGAAAAAGCCCCTTCTGCATACCCCCTGCACGTCTTCCTCTGTGTGTCTGCATCCCAAACCAAAGTCTTGACCGGAAAGCTTTCCTTCCAGGCTTCAGGATGCAGCCCTGGCTGAATGTGGACTCAGCATTTCTGGGGAAGTCGCCACAGCCATTATCTCTGGTCCCACGGCGCCACCCAGTGGCAAATATAGAGCCAGCCAGGCCCAGCTTCCCTGCAGCTCTCCTGGGTTCAGGGGTAGTATTCAAGTTCTTTGTGGTTTCTTGCTGGCTTAGTGACCCCATTAACCTGAACTTCTTTCTCCTTACAGGTGGCTATGAGAGGTTTTCCTCCGAGTATCCAGAATTCTGTTCCAAAACCAAGGCCCTGGCAGCCATCCCGCCCGTGGCACCGCCCAGCACGGCCGAATCCTTGGACCTGGGCTGCAGCTCCTGTGGAACCCCACTGCACGACCAGGTGCGGGGGGGCTTCCTTTCAGAGTCCTGCTTTTCAGGGGCTTTGGATGCAGTGCCTAAACTTGGGGAGAATGTAGTGAACCCTGATATTGGGATGGGATGTAAGGGAAGTTAGGAATAAATTCCATTTATTCCTTGGAATTCTTGCTCTTCCCTCTCTTATTACCCTCACTAAAGAAAAATGATAAAGACACAGCTCCCTGATTGGCCTCTAGAGTTATGTGCAGACAGAGAGGAGGCTGCTGAAGATAGAAGTGTGTGAGCTGCCCTTAGGAAGCTGAGAGAACACCCTTCTTTGAAGGAGCGGCCTGTGGACCCCAGCCCCGGTCCAGAACAGTCAGGCTGTCCCCATATACAAGCCAATTGTAAATGCCAAACGGATGTAAAGGGTCAGCCACCCCTCCCTCAAGAAAACCAGAGTAAGCCATTACATTTCTTTAAGCCCCCCCACCCCCTTTCCAGCCCTTTCATTGAGATGGAGGGGGTGACCTTATGGAGTCCAGCAACTCTGCTCCCCAAACCCCAGATTGCTCTAATTGATCTGACTCAGAAAATGGTCCTTAATTTAAGCCAAGTTAACCTTATTTTGCCAAGATCCCTCTTCTGGTCTGTGAAGCTGACATGGGGTCTGTTTTTGATGTGCCAAGTGAAGATATACCCAACCAAATAAGCCCCTAAAGCACACTACAGATAGCGTGGTGATTAGCAGGTGTAAGCTCTTCATGTCACAAATGGCGGGACAAGCCAGCACTGTGTCCCTCCATTTACCACGGGGGCGGTGGGCTGCTTAAACCAGGCTTTACCTGTCCTGGCTTCTCTGCGTAAAGGCTAGAGGAGTCCCCCTGGGCCCACCGCTCCCTACAGGAGCCCCAGCAGGGTGAGGGCTATGTGCAGGCATTCTTCCCAGGGCCTGTGAAAGCCACCTCTCCCTGCCCCAAGCACCTCAGCCCTCTTCCTGGTTGCGTTGCACTCATGATGTTGGGTCCTTCGTTTTTCCTCTCTGGTGCAGGGGGGTCCGGTGGAGATCCTCCCCTTCCTCTACCTCGGCAGTGCCTATCATGCCGCCCGGAGAGACATGCTGGATGCCCTGGGGATCACGGCCCTATTGAACGTCTCCTCTGACTGCCCCAACCACTTTGAAGGACACTATCAATACAAATGCATCCCGGTGGAAGACAACCACAAGGCCGACATCAGCTCCTGGTTCATGGAAGCCATCGAGTACATTGGTAGGCTGGCCTGGGCTGGGGACTGGGCCCAAGGTCGGGTGGGCAGGATGAGAGGGACCACTTGTAACTGGCTGGGGGAAGGAGGGGTTAGGAGAGGGTGCCCAGGGTGCATCCCGCCCCCCATCCTCCATAGGAAGGCCTACCCTGCACTGTGTCGGGCAGGGATAGGAAAACTGATCCTACCTGGGTGCTGTTGGCCTTTAGGGCCAATAACCTTTTCCTTGCATGTCTCCAGGTGTCTAGATGATAAGGCTCCCGGGATGGGTTGGAAGACAAAGAGTGGGAGAATTGGGTCGTTTTTATTTCTGCAAATGGAAATCCTTGAATGCATTGGGGTTTAGCATGCCTTTTTCTAAACTTAGTGCACGGGTTTGGTTAAGTCTCCAAAACAGCCTGGAATGGGTGGGATTCTACAGTCCCTCCGCGTGGGTGTCCCCCCTCCTGGCGCCCCCACACCCCGCGTGGGCCCCCTCCTGGGCGTGCGGGGCGCGGGCGCTGACCGCTGCCGCGTGGCTCCCCGCAGACGCCGTGCAGGACTGCCGCGGGCGCGTGCTGGTGCACTGCCAGGCGGGCATCTCGCGCTCGGCCACCATCTGCCTGGCCTACCTGATGATGAAGAAGCGCGTGAGGCTGGAGGAGGCCTTCGAGTTCGTCAAGCAGCGGCGGAGCATCATCTCGCCCAACTTCAGCTTCATGGGGCAGCTGCTGCAGTTCGAGTCGCAGGTGCTGGCCACGTCCTGCGCCGTGGAGGCCGCCAGCCCGTCGGGGCCCCTGCGCGAGCGCGGCAAGGCCACCCCCACGCCCACCTCGCAGTTCGTCTTCAGCTTCCCGGTGTCGGTGGGCGTGCACGCCGCGCCCAGCAGCCTGCCCTACCTGCACAGCCCCATCACCACCTCCCCCAGCTGTTAGGGCGCTCGGGAGCCCCCCGGCGACCCGTG